AATTACTCTCAATAATCAAATTTCAGCACTGTGCATCTGATTCATACAAATCTTAACAATCTATTCAACCCTCCCGATGAGAGATCTGCCAAAGTTGCACTCATTCTGTTGGTGTTTGTCTCTTTGCAATGTTTACAAAATATTTCTTGATTTATTCAACAGTAACCTTAATATAGCCAGCCAGTTTGGTATAGTGGTGAAGGCACCAGGCTAGAAACCAGGAGACAGTTCTAATGTCACAAAGCCAACCAGATGACATTGAGCCAGTCATTCTCTCTCAGCCCTAGAAAGAAAGGAAATGGCAAGTTGCCACAAAGAAGGAGTCAAGCTATTCTCTTTTTTTTTTAATTGAAAATTTTTAAAATTTTACAAAAAAAAAGTTCCCTTTCCCCCAATCCTCCCAACCCACCTCAACCCTCCCCCAACCTTCCCAGAGCTGAATACAGGCTTAATTAAAATTTAAAAGAAAAATTTTTAAACACAAATGAACCATATACAAATTTGGTTACAATAATTAAACAAATCATAAAATACTTTAACACCAATACTTAAAAAACAGAAAGAGAAAAAGAAAAGAAACCAGAAGAAGAAGAAAAAAGAAAAAAGAAAGAAATTAAAAAAAGAAAAAAAATATCTAAAAAATATCTTAAACTTTAAATATAAATTATTCAAAAGCTAAGTAATATTTTTTATATCATACTTGTTTTGTATAAAATTTATCCATCTTTTCCATACCAAAAGGTACTTCTCTTGCGATTGATCTTTCAAAAAAGCCGAAATCTTTGCCATTTCCGCTAAATAGGAAACTTTAAGAAACCATTCTTGCAAAGTAGGCAAAGATTCCTTCTTCCAGCATTGCCCTACTAGCAACCTAGCCGCTGTAATTAGATTTAACATTAATATAGTTTCTTTACTGTCACAGTCGGAAACAATACCCAACAAAAACAATTGTGGAGTAAATTTTATCCTTCTTTTAAAAATTCTTTGAATATTCCACCATATCTTAATCCAAAAAGCTTTTATATTTTTACATAACCACCAAATATGATAATAAGTAGCATCCAAGCAACCACATCTCCAACATTTAGGCTGCAAGTTTGAATACATACGAGACATTTTTTGTGGATCAAGGTGCCATCTGTAAAACATTTTATAAAAGTTTTCCCGTAAGTTTTGGGCTTGTGTAAATTTAACATTCCTCACCCAAATAATCTCCCAAGTATCTAATGGAACCGATTCATTAAAGTTTTGTGCCCATTTAACCATACAATCTTTAACTAGTTCTGCTTCTGAATCCAGTTCCACTAACACCCCATAAATTCTTTTGATATGGGTTCGTCTTTGATCTTTTATTTGTTTTAACAAATTCTCATCCTCTCTAAGCAAACCCACCTTACAATCTATCTTCCACCTTTCCAATAATTGTCTATACTGAAACCATGAAAAAATAATATTTTCTTGTGTTAAATCTTCCATGGATTTTAAATGCCAATTTTTACCATCCCATCTAAGTAATTGTATATAAGAAATGCTATCCATCTTAACTCCTCTCCTTATCCCTTCTATTGCATGCCATGGAATAGCCGAGTCAAGCCATTCTCCAAAGCACCTGAGAGTAGGACGAGAAGCAATGGATGGAAACTAACCAAGGAGAGAAGCAACTAGAACTAACTAACTCTATTTTTATTTTATTTCTTGTATTAAAAAAGAAAAAATGTTATGATTGATCCATTAGTGGGAGAAAGTGGTAAAAAGGTGACAAGCAACAGGGAGAAAGCAGAACTACTTAAATTTCTTTTGCATTCATCTTTACACAAAGGGAAAAAACAGTCCAACCTATCAAAAATAGTACTGTAAAAGCAGATTAGAAACACATGTTAAGATAGGCAAGATGTGTTGATACCATTTTATAATGCCTTGGTAAGGCCACACTTGGAGTGCTGCATCCAGTTTTGGTCACCACAATGTAAAAAAGATGTTGAGACTCTAGAAAGAGTACAGAGAAGAGCAAAAAAGATGATTAGGGGACTGGAGGCTAAAACATATAAAGAACGGTTGCTGGAATCGGGTATGCCTAGTTTAATGAGAAGGACTAGGGGTGACATGATAGTATTGTTCCAATATCTCAGGGGTTGCCACAAAGAAGAGGGAGTCAAGCTATTTTCCAAAGCACCTGAAGGCAGGACAAGAAGCAACGGGTGGAAACTAATCAAGGAAAGAAGCAACCTAGAACGAAGAAGAAATTTCCTGATAGTTAGAACAATTAATCTGTGGAACAATTTGCCTTCAGAAGTTGTGAATGCTCCAACACTGGAAGTTTTTAAGAAGAGACTGGACAGACCTTTGTCTGAAATGGTATTAAGGTTTCCTGCCTAAACAGGGATTGGACTAGAACACAGGTCGGCAACCTGCGGCTCCGGAGCCGCATGCGGCTCTTTGAGCCTTCCCCTGTGGCTCCCTGCCTCCTCTGCCTTTGCAGAGAGAGACAGAGACAGAGAGAGGCAATTGCGCTTCCCTGCTTCTCTCTCTCTCTCTCTCTCTCTCTCTCTCTCTCTCTCTCTCTGTGTGTGTGTGTGTGTGTGTAAAAGAGAGTGCACGCACAGTGTTCTCGGAGGAGCTGAAAAGCTTACTGGGCGGAGCTCCTCCCTTTGCTGCGTTTCTGCAGGAAGCAGGAGAGAGCTAGCTAGCCCAGCTAGGCTGACTCAGGAATTCTGGGAGTTGAAGTCCATGAGTCATAAAAGAGACGAGGTTGCTTATCCCTGAGCTTGTTGGACAACAGTTTGAAGCTTGCCAGGTGAGCAGCAGATAGGAGGGGGGGAGAAAGTGAGAGAGAGAAAGAGAGAGAGAGAGAGGGAGGGAGGGAGGGAGGGAGAGAGAGAGAGAGAGAGAGAGGGAGGGAGGGAGAGAGAGAGGAAAGAGAGAGAGAGAAAGAAAGAGAGTAGGGAAAGAGGAGTGGCAGACCAAGGGCAGATAGAGAGGGAGGGAGGGAGAGAGACACACAGAGAGAGAGACCCTTTTGACATCTAAAATGAAGATAACACTGCATATATCCTTTTTTTACCTGTGTGTGTATGTAATTTTATTCTCTTAAAGCATTCTCTTGGTGATCATTGTTTTAATAGTATGGATATTCCCAATAGTCATATTTTTACTTTTATTTTTAATGTGTGTGTGTGTGTGTGTGTGTGTGTGTATACACACACACACACACACAGATATATATATATATATATATATATATATATATATATATATATATCTGTGTGTGTGTGTGTGTGTACATACATACATACACACACATACACACACACACCTATAATAAAGGTAAAAAAGGATATATGCAGTGTTATCTTCATTTTAGATATCAAAAGGGTTTTGCGGCTCCCGGTGTTTTGTTTTTGGTGGGAAACGGGTCCAAGTGGTTCTTTGAGTGTTTTGGGTTGCCTACCCCTGGACTAGAAGATCTCCATGGTCCCTTCCAACTATTCCATTCCATTCCATTCCTATTTCTATTAAGTCACTTTCAAAAATGTTGCCAAGAAAACTGCATTTATTACTCCAGGCAGTCAACACTTACTCTAAGACAGTAACATAAAAAAAGCTGTGCTTTGTTCAAAAAAGATCACTTCCAATATACTGCAATGCAACTATGTGCCCTGAAAATTCTTAACTAGGCTGAAAGGCTTGAAAACATTTTTATTTGTGTGTGTGAGGTAAGAATTATAATTCAAGTACAGTACTTTATTAATGGGCCTGCTCATTACTTTGAGTATTAAGTTGTTAAATCAATTATTCTCTTACATGGCACTCTTCTAATTTTTTTTTAAAAATGTATAAAACAAGATGCTAACAATGCAAAATTTGCAATTCACATTATCCAGAAATTCAGCCAACTGAAAATACTTTTGGATGCTAATAGTACAATAATCACAGCTCAAATATTCCAAAAATCAGCCAATTAAAAATAAATTAACATAAACTGAACAGCCTTTAAAAAAAAAGCTTGAAATTTTTTTTTTAATTCTTTATCTAAAACTGGGCAGAATTTGAACTCTATAAAAAAGGTGCAACATGGAAAAATGGCCTATTCCTTGTGTCAATTGTGGTTAACAGCCAAATGAACCCATACAGACACAAATGATGCTCAATAATTTAACTCTTTAGATACTAATATCAATGTTTTAAATGGGTTTGAATATTAAGCGCAATATAGATATAGCCTAGCCTCCAGGGAATGGGTCAATTCCATCTTAAAATTACATTTCCCAATTAAATATTTACAGACCAACCAGTGGCCTCACAATACTGATGAGACCTTTGCCCTTGTCTTCCCTTGGTGACTTTCTCCATTTTATTTAAATATTGAACTGTAGCAGAAATAGAAGAGAAACTGACTCCAAAGACTGCAAACAGCTTAAGAAAAAAAAAGTGTGCAAGCAATTCCAGCTAAATGATTCCCAAGGATATGGTGGATCAAACACTAGTGAAAGATGCAGGAAGACCAACAGGTTATATTCTCACCCCACAATTAATCACTTTAAAAAACTGGATCATTTAAATTGTTATACAGGGATGCCATAATTGCACTGCGGAATAACTGCTTCCAAAGGTTAGGTGATCCCTTAACAAAATAAAGAAAAAGCAAAAGGCACACTCATAAGGAGGCAAACCCTCAGACCAGCACGGATCTAAATGCTAGCACTCAGCTGCCTCCATACGACCCATTAACCCATGTTAGTCAAGGAACTCAATATTGTAGATTTGAACCATCTACGGCACCAAGAATTAGGCACACGGGCTAAGTTCGGACAATATGCTAAACTAAAACGCGGTAGGCTTATCTGGGGGTTCGGTGGATCGTGGGAATACAGGCGCCCTTCCCAAGCATCTCCTTCCCTTCCCGAGCATCACCCCGAGGTGCATAAAGCCCTAGGATGCCTAGAGGGACCCCTTTACAACGCTTCGTTCCACTAGGCGACCCCAGCAGCCTCACACCGTACCTCCTTCCCGGCCTCAAGGGACAGACAGTAAGCGAGCGGCCGAGCTCCGCCGGCCTCCCTCTCCTCCACTGCCGCCTTCCTCCGCGGTTCTCCGTCCTCGGCGGCGTCTGCGATCAGTTCCGCCGCCCGGCCGTCGACTGTGGGGAAGGTGGAGAAGGAGGAGGCGGGCGGCTCATGGAAGCCGCGGGAGGCTGCAGCTCCCCCTTCGGCGGCCGCCTGGCTCATGGCAGCCGCGCGCCTTCTTTAGGACCGTAGCCTGGGCACAGCCGGCAGCCGCCTGGCGCCTCTCCCGCTCTTGCTGGCGCAGCTTTGCAGTGGCGGCGGCCGGCTTTGAAGCGGCTCCTCAGGGCGCCTGGCTTTCCACGGACAGAGTCGGGGCTCCCCCTAGCGAGCAGGGACCAGGATTGCGATTTTGGGAACTATGGGTCCGCACAGATTGTCCAGGGGGGGGGGTTACTCGGCTGAATTTTCACCCGAGCCGCCTTTGAGTAAATAATAGTGTCAGCTTTCTTTTTTTTTTCAAATCCTTTTTCTTTCTCCTGTTGCTGAATGGTTTTGCTTTAATAATTTTGACTATTCTCTTAAAATTTGAATTGCTTTGGGCTATTCTTTTTTATATATATATATAAATATTTTTATTGAGTTTTATAAAGGTAATAAAGGGATAGGGTCAAAAAGGGTAAGACAAAGGGAAACATACAAAAAGGTTAGACCAGGGGAAAGGGATAACACAAAAGTGGGATTAATCCCACAAAATAACCGCTTCAGCAAGTCTACCAGTCGGGATTTACATATTGAATCTTAATAATTACTCTTATTATTAAACAACTTTCCATAAAATCATGTAAATAACAAATTAGTCAATAAATCTAATTCATTTCACTACTTAACAATGCTAGGTATTAATTAATTATAATCACTTTAAAATAATAATATATTACATATTAATTATAGTTTACCATATTGTTTAAGATCACAAATATACAAAGAGGAAGAAAAAGAAATAACAAGTTCATACAAATAATCATGGAATATAAATACAAATTATCAATTATCTCTTTAAATTTCATAACCTTTTCTCATTCTAGCATGTTTCTAACCAATAATAAAATTTCCCCCATGTTTTAAAATAAATTGTGTCTTCTTTCTCTTTCATTTCTAAAGTCAATCTATCCATTTCTGCACATTCAAGTATTTTTGTTATTATAGTCTGGTCAGATGGTAAATTTTCATTTTTCCAAAATTGGGCAAATATTATTCTTGTGGCTGTCAACACATGCAATATTAAAAACTCATTCTCTTTTCCATAATTCAAACCTAATATTCCTAACAAACAAAGTTCTGGTTTAAGTTCTATCTGTATTTTAATCATCTTTTCTAGCCACATATGGATCTTAAACCAAAACTTTTTAGCATTAGGACATATCCACCAGAGATGGTAATAAGTGCCTGGTTGTTGTTTACATTTCCAGCACATATTTGATACATTTTTAAACATTTTCTCTAACTGGTGTCATGTGCCATCTATAAAACATTTTATATAAGTTTTCCTTATATGCAGCTGCTTTAGTAAATTTAATATTTAGGTCCCATAGTTTTTGCCAATCTTCTAAATCCCACACTATCATTGTTTCTTTCACTTGTTCTTCTTCCATCTTCCAGTTTAGCAGGAATTTATAAAGTTTCTTAATCAGATTTTCATCTGTTTTCAAAAGTATTTTATCTAGTGGTGTCTGTTCTTTGTAGAATCCCATTACTTTTACATCTTTTTCATTTCTTGTTTGAATTTGCAAGTATGACCACCATGTTAAATCAATGCAAGTTTGCTGAAGTTCTTGCCTATCTTTAAGTTTTCCTTCTTTATCTAAAATGTCTTTATAGGCCACAAGTTTATCATAGTTAATTAAATTCGGATACGCAAATGCTTCCATTGTGGAAAGCCACTCAGGTATTTTCATATAAATTTTCTTTTTAACTATCTCCCGCTCTGAAAGTAATACATTCCTTATGGCATGGGTTTGGAAGTATTTATGTACTTTATTTTTCTCGTACCAAAGGAAAGCATGCCAACCCAGTTGCAAATCATGTCCCTCTAAGTAAAGAAGTCGTTTATTTCTCAGTGTGATCCATTCTTTAAGCCACAACAAAATAGTGGCTTGGTAATAAAGTCTCCAGTCTGGGAGCCCAAAGCCCCCTCTGTCTTTTGATTCTTGTAGCAGTTTAATTTTGATTCTTACTTTTTTCCCTTGCCATATAAATCTCATTATTGTTGCATTTAAGTCATCAAAAAATTTCTGGCTTAGTTTAACAGGAACCGTCTGAAATAAAAATAACAATTTAGGTAAGATATTCATCTTAATAGTCGCTATCCTTCCTAATAATGATAATTGAAAATTTTTCCCCTTCTCCAAATCCATTTTTATTTGATTCAATAATCTTCCATAGTTATCTTCTTTTATTGTTATACATTTTGATGTTAAATAAATACCTAAGTATTTAACTTTTTTAACCATCTGGAGATTTGTTTTTTCCACAAATTGAGCTTTCTGTTTTTCTGTTAAATTTCTTGTAAGTACTTTAGTCTTTTTCCTATTTATTTTCAACCCAGCCACTTCTCCAAATTCCTCTATTTTCTGAATAATTTAGTGGCTGTTCGTTTTGGGCTATTCTAATGGGAAAGACTTCGAAGAAGTTTTAAAACTTTTCAACACTTTTTGCCATAAAACTGAAGTAAATGCTAGAAACCAGCAAAAAAAAAAAAACCCATTAAAAATTGTAGTGACATGATTGCAGGACACTGCAAACACCCATAAAGATGAGCCGGTTGCCAAATGCCCACAGTGTGATTACCTGAGTGTAGTGTGTGTATGTGTGTGTGTGTGTGTGTGTGTGTTTCTCATAATTGCAAAAGTGGGTTGTAACTAGATTTTTTTTGGGGGGGGGTTCATGGTAACTTTGAAATGGTCATTAAGCAACCAATTGTAAGTTGAGGACTACCTATATGACCAAACTATAAGCATTCAATAAAAAGGTTGGCCTCCATCTCCATAATTTTAATTTAAATAGGGTTATTTAAATAAATGAAATCAGAAAGTAATCCTGGAAATGGCCTTTTTTGTTTCTTGCACTTACTGTACATCCCCACATCATCACTGTCAATTAATGCCTAGACAAAGTTCTTAAAGTTATCATAAATTAACCCCTATGTTTCCTCTTTAATAAGACCCTGGTATTTTTTCCACTTCTTCATTTGAATCAAATGTTCTCTAGTTGTTTTAATCATTCAGTCATGTCTCATTCTTGGTGACTTTATAGGCTTTGTAGTCTTCTGATTTTGGCTTTAATGATGTATCTGCTTTTATATGATTCAGCATCTCTATGTTTTAGATTCAGCATCTCTGGCTGTCTATGGTTTATACAATAATTTATGCCAGCACCACAGTTCAAAGGCGTCAATTCTTCTTTGATCAGCTATCCTTAGTGTCCAACTCTCACACCTGTACATCATTATACAGATGACTATTTCTCTAACTAGCCTGCTTTTTGTATTTACATCAATATCTCTACTTTTCCAGATCTTATTCATGTTAACCACTGCAGTGTGACCTAAGAAAAATTAATCAGTGGAACAACCTGCCACCAGAAATGATGTTTCTGGAAGTTTTTAAGAAGAGACTGGCCAACCATTTGTCTCCAAGGCGCCTGAAGGTAGGGCGAGAAGCAACGGATGGAAACTGATGAAGGAGAGAAGCAACCTAGAACTAAGGAGAAACTTCCTGACAGTTAGAACAATTAACAATGGACCAGCCTGCCTCCAGAAGCGGTGAATGCTCCAACACTGAAAGTTTTTAAGAAGAGACTGGACAGCCATTTGTCTGAAATGGTATAGGGTTCCTGCCTGAGCAGGGGGTTGGACTCGATGACCTCCAAGGTCCCTTCCAACTTTATTATTATTATTATTATTGTTGTTGTTGTTGTTATTATTATTATTATTATTATATCCTGCATTTGATTTCAGGAGTAGAACTGCCATCGTGAACAATTTTTTTATCCAAGGAAGATAAATTCTCAAACTAACTCAATTTCATCCTTGTTGATTATAAACATCTCATGTCCATCTGCAGCCATTGTCGTTATCTTTGTTTTCTTGATGTTAAGACTCAATCCTATTTCATTTTTCCAGGTCTTCCTTATTTTCAGCCAATAGTGTTATATCACCTGCATAACTCAAATGGTAGAGAAACATGCTCATTTGCAATGCCAACAGTCTTTACTTGTGATAGCTGAAGCAAAACAATGAGAATTACACAATTATTTGTGCCCAACAAGTTATTGGACATACTCTCTCCTGTATCTTTACAACTACAAGTACCATACATATTTTATTCAAGCAATTACTCTTTCCATCACTAGATGGCAACTCTGCCACCATTTTTATGACAAGGAAAATTGTTCTAGCATCAGATTTATCCAATGCAGACTGTTTAATACTTTACAAACAAGTGCAGTATTATTAAATGCAATTTAAATGCATGGTTTTTCTAAAGAAAAGAAAAAAGAAAAAAAAATGGTCTCAATCATTTTTTCTTTTTTTACTGAAGGAATACAAAATTAATTACTAGTTGTTGGCCATTCACAGGTGTCTGCTTAAGATGCAGTCATGGGCTTGAAAATACAAAATTTATTTGCAGCTGCTCTATATGGAATATGGAAACCACATAAGTCATAGGGCAACAATGTTCATTAGCCCTAAGTTCACATGGTTGGCTAGAAAGACTTTTTAATGCAGGGGATGTAACTGCTGTCTAGATTTAGATAGAAACTAATCTAGAACTAAAGAGAAATTTCCTAACAGTGAGAACAATCAACCAGTGCAATGGTTTGCTTTCAGAAGTTGTGGGTGCCTCATCACTGGAGGCTTTTAATAAGAAACTGGTCAGCCATTTGTCTGAAATGGTATAGGGTCTCCTGCTTATGCAGTGGGTTGGACTCCAAGGCCCCTTCCAACTCCTTTATTCTGTTCTGTTCAGTTTCTGTTTCCAGCATCAGTTCGGGAATGTCATATTTCTTCCTTCAAGCAAAGGGAGGATGGGAAACATCGAAGAATAATTCTGTCTTAAAATGTTACATTTTTAAACCATTTCCTGCGGGTTTTTGGGGTGGTAGCCATTTTCTTCTTTTACAGCCAAACATTTACTCTTATAGAACACATAACATAGTATAATAGAATTGGAAGGGACCTTGGAGGTCTTTTAGTTCAATCCCTTGTTCTGTAGCAGTGATGGTGAACCTTTTAGAGACCGAGTGCCCAAAGTTCAACCCAAAACCCACTTATGTATTGCCGGGTGCCTGGTGG